ATATTTTTTGACAAATCAATTTCACCAAATATTAACTTTCAAAGTTACAAATGCATCAGCGCGTTGTCTTAATTTCTAAGATAATATTAATTTTTTCAATGATGAGAAATGTATAATATTGAGTTGTTCGTCTTTAGGATATATGTTAAGGATCATAATAGTATTATTTATTTTGTTACAAATATGATCAATCAAGACTAACACGAAAAAACGATGTACATATATTATTTTTGTTATTTCTAAATATTTTTAGATTAGTTTCTCTTGTATTATTATTTGTTTGTCTATATGTATTTTTAAAAATAAGTGTAAAACACAATTAGAAAATAGTTGACAACGTCCAAACAAATATTACTAATTGTTAGAATCAGAAAAAAAAACGTTACTAATATCTAAAGAAGAAAATTAAAACATAGACGAGAAAAAAAGTAACTTGGTTATTTATGAGCGTTTTCCAAGTTATACCTTAATTTTTATCATGGAAGACAGAAAGATGCTAACGTTTAAGTAATTCCTCTTTTATTATCAAATAAATTATTATTAGAAGAATATTATTCTAACAGATAAAACAAGACTTGAAGAAAATTCATTTACATATCATACTAAAAAAGAAAATATATGGTTTTCAGGGAGTTAATTAATTTTTTTTAGAGACAATATTTTTAGTAATCAACATTACTAGAAAGGTGGTCTATTTTTTAAATTTCCATTATCTTTTTGTTAAACTAAGATCTAGTTTTTTATTTAATGTAGAATTACATAGATTTTGTTTAAAACAAACACATATTATTCATTTTTTGAGTAATATAAATAATGTATCTGAACATGGCTTTTTTTCCTTGATTCTGTTCTTACAAAATCTTTTTTTTATTTAATGAACATATTTCATATACTGAAGTTGTTGACAATACATTTAATTTATTTTGTTTGGTTGTAAACGTCGATTTTTCATAATGTTTCACTGAAAACAACTAAGAGCACTATTCTAAATTATTTCCCTACCTGTTGTTTAAAGATGACAGTATTTTCTCATTTTTTTTAGCTCATTTACCAATAAACAATTCTTTCGGTGAGAGATAAGTGATATACAGTTTTTTAATTTGTTTTTCTTGATTAGAAAATATTCAAAATTACAGTTTAAAACTCTTTTTTTTCTTAATTCAAATGTATTCGTAGAAAACATATGACTAATATTGTCTGTTAATATTTATTCAGGGTTTAGTAAAAACATGTAAAGCTTTAGTTAATTAAAACGTTGAAAATACAATAATTTACTTTTATATTTTCTTACCATTCTTGATGAATCACAGTTTATATGATCGTCTGTCATAGAGTTTGTGTGTTAGAAAACTGAATCAAAACTTTTTTAGTCTAGAATACAAGATTTTTTATGTAATTTTTAATAAGTACTGTCAGAGTAAACCACGGTAACATTTATTTCATATTTACAGATCGAATATCAAATAAATCTTCTAAAGGAGTTTTCTGTATATATACAAATATAAAATTTATTCGTTGTTTTGAGAAGTTTTTTTCTTTTATTACAGTCAATTTAGACAAGTATGTCAATATATTTTTGTCATTACTATGAGTAACTATTTTATTTTTTCCTCTCATTTTATTTTAGAAAAAGAATAGTAATCTATGATTTTTTCTAGAATATTATTTAATGGAACATGATTGACATCGAAAGATTAGATCCTTCATCGTATAATCCAGATCAAACTTTCTCAATATCTGATGATCAGTGGATTTCTGTAACAAATAATGGATTGTAAGTATTATATTTCACTAACTAATAAACAATCTCAAAGACAATTTTACTAACTAGCTCTTTTTAAAAGGAGTAAACGCGTTACAATTTTGATTCGTGTCTGTGTAGCAACTGGTATAGTTGTGTTCCTCATATCCCTACTTGTTCCGATATTTTGTTTCAATGGCAAATCAAGGTCCACTACTACTACTACTACTACCACTAGTACAACAGCAACAACAGTTACTACAACCTCTACGACATCGACGTCCTCAACGTCGACTTCAACAACATCAACTTCAACAACAACCACAACAACAACCAGTGAGTTAGCAAAATAGTTTAAAGTTTTTATAGACTGTCTTGCGAGAGGTGAAAGTGTAAGTGATATGTCAATCTTTCATTTATACCCTCACCTCGCCTCTTCCAGGTGAGAATATGGATGTACGGTATAGATGAGAAATTGACATTATCATTCACACGCTCATCAAAGTGTTTTAATAAATATATCTATAATTTTAGCAACAGTAAGCTGTGCTCCTGGTTATTCTGCAACACCAGCCGCAAAATGTGTCGATACATTGAGTAATTTTTATAGTTGTGGATCCATTGCTTATGTTTGTTCATCAAATTATACAATCTGTTCAGCTGGTGTATGTAAGATAGCACCTGATATACAACTTAGTAAACCAACTGCTATACCTGAATGGGCTGGTATGCCAATCGATGATTCTATACAGCAAGTTACTCTTTCAGTCAATATTACACTCTATAATTATAGTACTAATATTGTTACTGTATCAAGTAATGGAGTAAGTCATTTTTAGGACATAGTTTCATAGAAAACTAAATGTATTTTAGGTTCTCTGTCTTAGTAGTTGTAGTTCTGCTTATGCAAATGAAGATCTTCCAACGGCAAGCGTTGGAGGTCCAACAGCTTTTGGTTTCTGGGATGATCTGAAGATTTATAGTGGTACTGCTCAAGCAGTTTATTATGGAACCAGTGGAATAGCACCTAATCGAATAACAACTTTTGAATATTATACCAGTAATTATGCTTCACCAATAAATTATTATCATTTTCAGATAATATTTTATGAAAATTTACCAAATATTGTTAAATATGTTTATTTCGAAATATTTGATGGAGGTGCTTCAGCAACTATTGGTGTACAACGTAAGTTACTTCTGATTGTTTTTTTTCGTTCTAATTAAGATATAAACTATTGTAAAAAACACGATCTAAATAATCTGAGGATCATTCACAAATTATCGTAAATTTATCGAGAGTTTTAGGAACTTTAGGGGATAATTTATTACATTCAGCACATCATATCAAACGTTATTAATTGACATTAATTGATGGTGTAGCAGCTACTTCATATTTTACATTTTAATCTTACAGGAACTGTACTAATATTTTGTTTTTTGTTTAATAATAGAATCGTCATCAGGACCAAGTATAACCTATTCAGTAAATCAAGCATATGCAGTGGCTTATAATACAACACTTTTATTCAATACAAATAAGGGTACTATGATTCGCTTAAATTGATACATACTTATGAAACTCAATCAAAACAATAATCTTTTAGAATTAATATTGTTTTAAATTTGTTCGTGGCTTTATTCTTTATCTTTTTTTTTTCTTTATTATAAACAATAAAAATAAACATGTGTATATAGAATTATCATCAATATTCACACTTTACATTTTACTATATAACGAGAGTGTATGTGAAGAAAGAATAGTATACCTTCGTCTTTATCCACACCTCATATCTAAATATTTTTAAACATCTGTGATGTTGATGATATAGGCGTTTTTTATTTTTTTACGATCAGTTTCAATTTCTCGTTGTAATAAATGATCTTGAACACAATTTGAAAATGATGAATTAGCTGGCGTAACTGATTTTACTCGTCATTTATTTCGAGTCAGACTTGCCATGAGAAACAAAAATACTAGAATAAATCGATATATTCCTATAATTTTTTTTTTCAAAGAAATAGATAAGAAGAAAATTTATTACAATCCATAAACTAATCTAAACAAAAGAATAGTTTGATTATGAATCATTCTACTAATAATTATAAGTTAATTGATGAACAGAATATGTTTGCATATAAATCCTTTTTTGAACAAGAATTTTAAATATTGCTGATATGATTTTAAACAATAGACAAATGTTCCTATTTCGCTAACAGAATCAGTAGGATAAAAAAAGATACTCTATACTTTTTTTTACATCAAAAATTTACAATTCAAAATGTATGTCAAATTTAAATGGGTAAGTCATATTTACACTCCATTAAATAAATCTACGTTTATGTAAGAAAAAGAATAAGAATGATAACAAGAGAAAAATAGAAATTTATTCTACTTTTCGAAAATTCTTTTGTTTTAAGTGAGAGAATTAGTTCTACGATTAAAATCTATTTATATAGTAACGATATCTGTAGTAAATAGATTTATTTACAACAATATGAGCACAGATTCTAGACTTCATTATCCTTCTATCTTTTAACTCAAAATTAAAAAGATAACAGGATTCTATTTTCATTTTATTTCATTATTGATTAATTGATTCTTTTATAATAACTAGTGGAAATATTAATATTTTTAGTTTTCTTTGAACGACTAATACAACTCGATTGCATATAAATATCGAACTTCTTCTAATTTTGATTTAGACATGCTTCCTTTTTTTTATCAGATTTGTTTAGGGTGACAATTTTTTTGATCACCAAATTATTCTGGTGCGAAATGATCACCAAAAAAATATACAATTTGATCACCAAATTTATTAACAATAAATATATAGTACATTAAGATGTGGGCGTGAGTGTGAGTATGGGTATAATTACTCTTTTCAACGAGATCTCCATCTACACTCACCCCCCTCACACACTTTAAGAGTATTTTTAGTTAATTAGATCATTCAAATCGAATTCAATTATCCTTTTTTAATGTCATCTCGTTACCTTAATTAGTTAATCTTTACGACAAGTTTATGATTTATCATAGATCTATTATCCAACACTCATAAAATGAACTCGCTATCGCTGACTACGTGTTAATTCGTTTGGTGATTAAAAGTACATTTTCCCGTATTGAATGTCTTTTTTCAAATATGACTTTCAAATGCAACAGTACATCGATTGATTCATCACGAGAAGCAAGCAAATAAATAATGTTTTTTTGTCTTTATTACAATAGTCATGTCATTGAAACTGAACGGATTGATTAGGGAGGAGTACGCCTTCGAATACGATTGAACGATTGCTTAAATGCTTTCATATACAATTCTGAAGGAAAGACAAATATAAGAAAAATTAGCATCGGAGGAGTAAACGAAATGAAATATGGTCCAAGATACAACCACAAGTTCTCAGATATTTTCGCACAACCAGGAAGTAATGAAATGATGAGACGAGGTATTGATAAAACGAGTAAAACTATTGGACTAATGATCAGTTGTTTATGTTCACGGAATTGTTCTTGAACATGTTCTTTAAAACTTTGATTAATTCGTGCCAGTGATCGTTGTTGAGCGCCTCTAATGATGATGAACAATGCAGAGAAAAGATTCACGATAAATGGACTAACAAGATGAAAAAATAGAACAGCTGTATTGTAATCTTGTATAGAAGGAGAATAACGAGTGATGCATGATACATATCGCTTAATTGTGTCTTCATTTGTCTTATTCATATTTGTCGTATCCGGTGCTGTTTCATAAACGAACAACCTGCGATATGCGAGCTCATGAATAAGTGTACCCAAAATACAGAATGGTAAAATAAGAATTGTTCGTCGAGCAATACATCTGCTCTTATTTTTATCAAATTTGACTCCTTTAAAAATAAGTACTGCTCGTTCAACTGCTACACAAGCATTCAGCCAACCATCCAAGTAGAGAAAAAGTTTTAAAATTGGTTCAATAGATGCACAACCTCCACGAAGAACAGATAGACTAGTGGACACATTGATATGAGTAAGAACAACAAACCAGAATTTGATTAGGAACATACTAATTGCCAAAAGAGAAGTAATCGATGATGCCAATAGATACATTCCACATCCAACTTGTTGAGAATCTTTATGTTGAAATGTAATAAAAGAGAGAACACTATTGATTAATCCTGCGACAAACATAATTATTGTTAAACCCGCACTCAGTTTAATCGAAAATGATTGATTATTTAACACTGTATTCGGTTGAAGTTCATCGCGTAAAATATCATCGAGTGTCAAACCAATTCCTTTGATGTAAAAGTTACATTGATCACCAATCACACAACTACTTTCTTCAGCACCTAAAATATTGAATACATTTCGAGAAGAAAATAATCAAGAAATTGAGTTCTTTTGACAATTTACTTATTTCTCGAATGAAAAAGTTTTCCAATGTATTGAAATATCTGCATCTTTCACTACTAATTTCCAGGAATAGAAAAAATTATGGAAGAAACTTTTACTTTTATAAGATTTCAAGTCTTCAAAAATTTCATATCTGTAAAGATATCGAAAGATGTGAGTAACAACAGTCAAAATATGAAAAAACTATTTACAATTCACGCCAAACAGATGTCTTTTCTAACAGATCAATTAACCCAAAGATTCTGAAAACTATTTAATTCAATAACTCGATAGATTCTTTTTTTTAAATCTAAAATAAGAATTGCTCATTAATTAAAAAAGTACAAGACATCTCCTTTCCGCGTGTTCTATAGCGTTATATATTTATTATCAATAAAATCTTGTAAATACTTACAGAAAGGACTAAGACTGATATTGTCTGGTCCAGAGATAAAAACAGAGAAGTTGCCAATTATCTTAGGATCGCGTGTTGTCACAACTAATATGTATCGAGTGTTGATCTTGAGATCGATGATTAATTTAAACTCTCCATTATTACATTTACCATCATGTGATAGGAGTAAATTTTCAGATGGTTTTAGAGGATTGAAATCATTTTTGTAGATATATCCATATGCATTAATATTACTTTCACTCCAAAGAACATACAAGCCCGTTGTATTAACATGAATTTGTGAAGTTTCATAATGACACTGCGGTACTTGACAATCTCGATAATATGTTAGACTGTCATCGGTTAAACTTGACGAATGCATGAATTGCATATTTACTGCAGTACCTATTAAATAAAGGAACAGGAATAGTTAAACAACGATTCCCCCATGAAACTATAATCTAATATCAACGAACGCAAAATCTTTGAGATTTTCTATGAACATTTTATTTTACAAATACAGGCCAGTAAATATGTCAAGCCCACACCCGTTAAGTGAGTTTTCTGAAATCAGTATGCCATAGAAATATAAAAGTACTGAAATATAGCAAGACACTTTTTGGCTTCTCAGCATTTAACTATGAAATATTTTCAAACACCTTACTGACTATCCTTTTTAGCACATTTTTCATGCAATATTTGTAGAAACTGAGCAGTATTCATCTAATACGATAATGTTAGGAAAATATTCGAGTAGATACTCTGTTGGAAAATGTCTTAATATTAGATAGCATTACTTCAGTACATTCTCTAAGTATAGAACAAAATATTGAATTGAGTTTAGAAGGTATACGGTATATTTTGTACGAATTATTTAAAATACAACACAAATAGCTATATACTTACTAAGACGCTCGAGAAGAACCTTGCTTTTACCCAATACAACAATCAAGAATTTTCCAGTTTCTTTTGAATCAAACGTTGTTACAACCAATACATATGTCATGTTAACATCAAGATGAATATCAAGTTTGAACTGAGCATCAAACCCGCTGTCGTCATCTGTTTTAAGCAAATTTTCTGATGGATCTAGTGGATTAAATTTGTTTTTGTAAACAGACCCATATCCATCGATATCACCAGTACCACGAAAAGTGTAGTAACCACTTTCAATCACCTTCACTTGAATTGATTCATAATAAAAATTTTGTTTGTCACAATCTCGGTAATAAATTTGACTGATTTCAGTCAGTGATGATGAATAAGTCTTTTGAAGAAGCGAGAATGTATTGACTAAATGAACAATAAAATCAATTGAAGCTTGTCATGAATACACAGGAGTGCAAGTTGTTTTTATCAGAATTTTGTATTCGCTTTAAATATGCATCGCTAACCTATTGAACTGATAACCTGTGTTCAGAAGGATAAAAAAAATTATTTCTTAATCTCAAAGCATTTTCAATGATTTGACTTTATTCTGTGATATTATTTGTTTTACGACATTTTGAAAATAAAAAACATTATGTAAGTCGAACAGTGTGGAAGAGAATCTAATAAAAGTGCTTTATCTACATGCACACCACAATGTTTGACTTTTACATAAAACTTAAAAATACGAAACAATATCTGATCAGTAAAAAGAGAGGGAGAAACTTCTAAATGATTAGATTTAACTGACGATTTTTTTCGAAATCAATCAATCAAATAAAATATAATATCGTTCACATTGATCAGATAGTTTCTACGTAGCATCTGAGAAATTCTGTTTTATTCTTCTAAAAACAACCAATATCTTCGACGTTTTTTCTGATGAGATAGTTATCTTCACATCTTGCGAATGAGAATGTCTAAAAGAAGAATATCTATCTATACTCAATCATAATTTCTTATCTTAAATAAGTTTACTTAGTTTGTGTTGAAATTCTTAAACTATTCAGTTATTTAATCTGTATAATTTTAATTTTTTTCGATCACAGAAGTTTAATGTGCAGTATTTTCTTTTACCTAGTGCGTCAGTGTCCTCTAACAAAAACTATACAGCTTTTCCCTATCAACATTCACATCTCATCATCTCATCCGACTGTACACCGACTTACCACAATATTTTTTTAAATATTTAAATTTTTGAATTCGATGGTTGTCTGTATCAGTAATAAATATGTTTCCATAGCGATCGAAACTCAAACTAAATGGAGAATTTAATTGATTGGATTGTGAACCCATTCCATAACATCCAACTAAACATCGAAAACCATTCAAGCCTGAACCAACAATTCTATGATTGCCTTTGTCCACAATGAATAAATATTTCTCAGCATCTAATATAATTCCACTGGGACAGTTAAGTTCAATTGTTGGTTTTAGTGATGTTTTTCCAGCCACTGTGATACCCTTTGATTCTCCCGACTGAAACAATTGAACTCGATCATTTTCACAATCTGCCACAGATAAATCAAAATTTATATCGACAAAAATTCCATGAGGACGTCTGAGTTGATTTGGGTCTGATCCGGGAATACCTGTTCCAGCAGCAACGCGGTTTGAAGTCATCACAGCATCATTGATTGATCTTTTCACTACTTGATCACGATCAGGCATTGAACAATAAAGAGTGTCATTGATATCGACAAACAAACCCCAACATAATGGCTGGACATTCATCACTGTAACAAAGGTACTTGTTTCTGCTATCCATTTTTGTACTCGACCATTCTCCCTGCTATCATCAATATAAATATCACCATTTGATGTCACGAAGACAGACGAGAGTTTTGTAAAATTACCAAAAAGGATCTTTGTTGGATTGGCACTCTCTTCTTGCCATATTACAATTGTGTTATTTACTTGATTAGTGCTATATATTGTGTTGTTTGTGCTCACAAAAAGGGCAGTAGGATAATTACCAACAATCGATTGATTAGCAAAAGTAATTCCATTAGAATTCCAAGTGGCTGTTGGACAAAACTTTGGTTGATTGAATGAAAGAGCTGAATACAAGAAAAATAGAAAGAATATTATGGAAGAACTGCAAACGAAATGAAATTGTTAATTTATATATTCGTAGAAGAAAATTAAAGGTTCTTCAAACAAGTTTTTGATGAAAAAGACATTTAGAAAAGTTTATCAGAACTGATTTTAGGAATGGTTTTTACTAGTTTTCATATGAAATATGAATTGTGATATAGTTAAAATATTTGTGTTTGAAGAACAGATGTTGATTATTTTACATAAAAAAAATTCTTATTACTTTTTGTTGAAAAATCTTGTGGAAGATCTAAATAAATTGTATCAAAGAAAATAGTGCGTGTGTGTGTGTGTGTGTGGGTGTGGGTGTGGGTATGATTATATTTATTTCGATCCACACCCACACCCACACCCTCAAAGGTCAAACATAATCTCGTCTTCGTTCAATACAAAAAAGACAAATCTTTCTTTGTAATCTTGATAGTATTTTACAGATTTCAATGTTTTTCTTATAAAATAAAGAACAAAACAAGAAAATCTCTATTCTCATATACAAAGAATGAATAACTCTCTTAAAACGAAACCAATCATTGACTACACATCTTCAAGGAAAAATAAAATAAATATTTGAAAAACTAACAAACCTTTTATCAATCAGAAAACCTTTTTCTCATTGAGTTTCAGAATTGTAAACAAAACTTTATTAATTGACTTATATAAAGTTTTCATCTAAGAACAATCCAGAATAGCTTCAATTGAAAGACAATTTTTCTTTTTGATTATCTTAAATAATGAATTTGATTAAACAAATAAATATTTTTATTCAAAATCACTGAATAGATTTGATTTATTTTATCAAATAAACAACTTTTTTCTTGTATAGAAAATATTCTTAGTTTTTAAGTAGAGAAATAATAACATATGTATATATATGTATCTCATTAACAATTACATATATCACATTATAGATTCTCTTCAACTATTCAATATTATTCTCTGTGATTAAATATTATGATAACTATCCTAGAAACAAATCATCAATCAAACATTTCTTTATGAGAAATTCACGTTTCATAATATTTTATATTGAAAGTTATCTCTCTCAAAGAGAAACAAAGACTAAATTCATTTTTTATATAAAACAAAGAAGAAAAATCAATTATTAGACTTGTGACATTTTATTTGTTCTATTTTTCTTGAATGAAAAGTAGCGAAATATGAAATATGAAGTGAAATCATAGAATAATTTATATTAAAACTAAATCGACAAAGATATGAACAGATTTCATTTTAATAAAAACTGTTTCATTGATGAAATATTCTGTGAGACATAAGAAATGAAACATGAAAGTCTTTTCTACCACTCTATTAACGACAGAAGTGTTTCTTTCTCTGTTATTTAATCTCAACAAAAAGGCAAAGATAGTTTACCTTAGATGATTGATACATGGCTCTCTCTAATCTGAACATTGCATTTCCTTAGACACATTCTTTCACACATTGCTTTAATTAATCTTTCTCAACCGTTTTTGTTTTCTTTTTTTTTCTATTGAAATGTGTTTATTAACTTTGATTTCTTATCTATTCACATCTCTTCGTCTCATTCAACTTTTTTTCAACTTACCAAAAGAACCTTTCATCAATAAAAATTTTTGAATTCGACCATTTGCTCGATCAGTAACAAACATGTTTCCAGAACGATCGAAACTAAAACTAAACGGATAATTCAATTGATTGGATTGTGAACCCACTCCATAACATCCAACTAAACATCGAAAACCATTCACGTCTGAACCAACAATGCGATGATTGATATTATCCACCATGAATAAATTTTTCTCAGCATCTAATATAATTCCACTTGGACAAAAAAGTGCAATTGTTGGATTTACTGATCCACTTCCAACCATTGTGATGCCGTTTGATTCTCCCGACTGAAACAATTGAACTCGATCATTTTCACAATCTGCCACATATAAATCAAGATTTATATCGACAAAAATTCCACGAGGAACACTGAGTTGATTTGGGTCTGATCCGGGAATACCTGTTCCAGCAGCAACGCGGTTTGAAGTCATCACAGCATCATTGATTGATCTTTTCACTACTTGATGGTGATTATGCATTGAACAATAAAGAGTATCATTGTTATCGACAAATAAACCAAAACATACTGAGTTGACATTCATCACTGAGATGAAATTATTTGTTTCTGCTATCCATTTCTGCACTCGACGATTCTCAGTACCATCATCAATATAAATATCATCATTCGATGTCACGAAGAGAGACCAGGGTTCCGTAAAATTACCGTGAATGAACTTTGCTGGATTGACACTCTCTTCTTGCCACATTACAATTGTGTGATTTTGTCGATTAGCGCTGTAGATTGTGTTGTTTGTGTTCACAAAAATGGCGCGAGGTGTTTGACCAACAATCGATCGATTGGCAATGGTAATTCCATTGGAATTCCAAGTGGCTGTTGCAGAAAACTTTGGTTGATTGAATGAAAGACCTAAGAACGAGAAAAATAGAAAGAATATTAAAGAAGAACTGTAAACGCAATGAAATTGTTAATTTATGTTTTTTCTTGAAAAAATTCATTGAGATTAATTCTCAAAAGATTTCTATGATTGTTGTTCTATTTTCTCGGATGATTTGTAAATATTAACTGAGAGAGAGAGATAAATTCATCGAAGAAGATCAACGTTATTTATTGATTATTCCGTTGTAAAAGAAAAATAATTATGGTTGATCCTTGAAAAATGAATTGAAAAAAGGGAAAAAGAATTGTATAGAATGAAAATGACTTTATTGAAATTGATTGAGATCTAAACAAAATGCCTTTGAACTTCAATATCAATTCTCATTTTCATATGAAAAACATTGTGAATTTATTGATGTTAAATCATTTCAAGTACATATCATCATCTTTATCAACGATCTGCATTCATCAAATGCCATCGTTATCATCGATTACAAAAGTCTACTAAATCTCACCACCATCTATATTCTCACTCAACTTTTGTGTGCTCTCTAAATCCTTCTTTCGCCCATCCACATTCGAAAGATATCCATAACATTATTTAATATCGGTGAAAAGGGTAGATTTGTGAATGTCGTCGAGACTGACGGTTTTGTATTTTGTTCGATAGTATAGACTTAGAAAATAATTTTAGATATAAAATCAAAAGCTTCACCATGATTTCTACTATGAAATAATATATCATGTCTAAAAACAGCCGTTCAATCTATTTGTTTTTTTTAAATGAACGATTCAAAGATTATTCCAATGTGATACATATGTAACTCATATTTCACCAGTGATAGTCATAGCAACATTTTATAATTTCAACACAGTTTAACAATAAAATGAGTCGCTGTAGAGAGACGCATTCTCTGAATGAGTTAGGGTGGAGTCTAGAAAAGATGAGAATCACCACTTTTGAATATATAACAGAAATTCCTGTCAAATTCAATAATCTATTATTTCACTCTCTTTTGTTCAACTAAAACTCTAACGAGTAATGTTATTTTTGTGCAGTAGCTGATCTTCAGTATGTAATAAATAAAAGTATTTACCTGATGCTTTATTGTTGAGAGTAAATAGAAAAATGATGATAAATATGTATATATTCAACATCATTCAACAAGAGCTTTTTTGATAAATTAGTTAACTAATAAAATAATCTTCTTTTTCTTCTCCTACTTTGTCTTCGATGAAAACATAATAAAACTCATCGTAGATTTTCTCTCTAGTTATATATCTTTCTTTTTCTCTCATCCATTTCTTCCAGCATCGCACAAAGAGAAAAAACAGTGTTCTAGAGAACGATTTGTCGTCGGTAAGATAAAAAATTGACTTTAGATTGGGTTAACGAACAAAATTGATGATTTAATAGGATATTTTTCTTTGAATTTCATTCTTTTCGAAATTTGAAAACATAAAATGGAATTTAAATTCGACATGATCCTTTTCTTTTTTTCATTTGATTGAAAAACCTTTGAGTTTATTGAAGAAGAACGTGATAAAGAGAAAAGATAACTGATGAAAATCTACATTGATCATCGGACGTGTTTTAACTAAAAATAAGATATCAACTATCATCGTCAATAAATGATTGACGTCATTAAATAAGTCATGATTAGTTTGATGTCTTTCTTTATCTAACTCTGTTAAATAATCTGTTTTGTCAGGACTCACTTTTAATCACGTTCTTTATTTCTCTATGCGCAATACGTATCTATGAGAAAAGATTCCTTCTTTGAATATTTCGATCTGTTTTAGAATAAAAACTCGTTAGATATATACAAAGCAGAATTGTTCATCTTAATATAGTGCATTTTTCTGAGAGACAGCATGAAAATACATGAATTCTACTCTAAAGTCAATATTTGCAAGAATAACACTGACAATGGATGCGGGTGTGGGTGTGAGTGTTAGTATTATATATTGATCTTGCGTCCACACCGACACGACACCCGTACCCACACCTACACCTACACCCACACTCACATCCACACCACACCACACCCACACCCACACCTACACCCACACTCACATCCACACAACACCACACCCACACCCACACCCACACCACACCACACCCACACCCACACC